GGTCAAGTCGAGTCAATAGATACCAAACATGTGACGCGTTAAAACTGCAATGGCTAAAAATCTATGGTACTCAAAATTGTCCATAGACGACACTTTAAAAGCCTTTATATCTCATCAGTTTAGAGTTACCAGAGAACTATAGCCCTAGAATGTTTACTCTCACTCCGACATTGATAATGGCACAACAGGTATGGCGCAATTGTCGTTTACATACATGTGCATGCCCTACGCACGCGGCAGGTCTGGTTTTAATTTTTCTTTAATTTCCTATTTATTTTAATATTTTTTTACTTTTTTGTCATTTTATTATTTTTTTTCACTTAACTTTATTGCTATCACACAGGCGCTAACAATGTGGTAGAGTTTGGAGGTAACAGGTTCGCTTCATGGAGACATCAAGGGTCTATTAGACCCCTGATGTCTCCCTGGCCTCCAACCCAGGGGATCGAGTACAGCACTGAGCCCAATCCCCGTGTGAGTGGCACTTCAGGCCGGCTTCTGACAGCTGTGATCAGGAAGCGCTTACTTATTTACTAATCACACAGCAGATCGGGGAAAGGACGTTCCTTGGTCTGCTCCCGCTCTCCATTAGGACACTAATTGCTGTGATTGTGGGTCTCCCAGGGAAGCACAGGACCCTGAAAACCACAGCGGTGTGGGTGCGGGAGGGGGCACCACCTATGCAGGCTGGTACAAGCTGCCCAGATCACTTGTACAAAAGGAGAATCACCTGCTAAAACAAAGAATACCAAGATCATGGCTGCATCAGGAGCCATGTTCTTGGTATAACTACTTCAGGACAAGGATGTATATACACAGTATATATACACTGAGTGGCCAGATTATTATGATCGCCCCATCAGTACTTTGTTGGGCCACCTTTTGCCTTCAATACTGCGGCGATTCTTCTCGGCATTGACTCCACGAGATGTTGAAAGTTAGATGTGCCCACGGCTCACAGGTAGGCTGCCGAGGTCCCCAGCAAGCATCTTGCGAACCACGCTGCCCGCCTCCAGACCCCTGGTGAGACACCGCACAGCACTCCTGATAGTCCACATAGTCCACCTGAGACACCACACAGCCACTTGAAAGCCAACATAGCCCATCTGCGAGCCCGCACAGCCCACATGAGAGCATCCATAGCTCATCGGAAAACCCGCACAGGACACCTGAGACCCTGGAGACATCAGGGAGCCACCCCGGAACAAAACATATGTCGCTTGATATTTATTTTGTATTGCTGTATAATGTTTCGCTGGAACTTGTAGTCCTCTATAGCCCGTCTCCTTCCCTTGGCTGTCTCTTTTTGCTCTTTCTCCTGATTGCCTCTCCTCGCTCTCTCCTCTATATTCTCCAAAAAAGAAAATTGTGGCGCTAGATCGTTCGAGTTTCACTTGAAGAAAAGGTGGCAACCCTCGTTCCACAACAGCTGGAGTGCTGAGGTTGCCTACCCCTACAATATTAGATTGTAAGCTCTCACCACCAGGGCCCCCCTAACCCTCCTGTAATGAAATTCTACTCTAGCTGTACTGTCCCCCTCCATCTTGTACAATGCTGCGCAAACTGCTGGCACCATATAAATCCTGTATAATAGTAATTACGTGTGTGGGTCCCTCCGCTCCCTGTGCTTTCCCTGTGCCACTGTTCAGAGCAGGATCTCCTAATGTCACCAGATAATTAACTTTAAGTTTTGAAATAAAACTGATTTTTTATTTTTTATTTTTTTATAAAATCTTTATTTTACAAATGCACATTTAATACAAAGTGCTCCTATGTCACTGGTGTCACACAGCATTGGGCTGCAGGCAGATATAAAGGACACCAGTGAATGCAGCTCTGTAATCATCAATACATAATTCAATGTAAGTACCTGATATCAGACTCCTGCAGCAGGGTTCAGACTTGATAAAGAGCTAATCAAACATGGAACATGCAGATAAGAGGAGAGAGCAGAGTGACAGGTAGATGAGCTCATTGGTGTGCTGCTTCTCCTTTCACTGTTCAGTCAAAGGCTGGGGGAGGGATAAGGCCTGTAAGGGTTTGTTAAAGGAGTTGTAAAGTCACAGCACATCCTCTCCTGTTATGACATCAGCATTGTAATAGGAATACATAGTAGAGTTGTTTCTGATAATACAATCAAAGCTTACATGAAAAAATCCCTTTTATGTAATGAGCGCTGCCTTCCGTCTGCCCATCACTTCCAACAACTTCCTGGATTCCCAGTGTGCTTTGTGTCTCTTTCTCTGCTGCTTCATGTGATGCAATCAAAGACTGCATATTCCATCATGCATTGCTTCCAGCAAGCAGTGATAATGTTACATTGTTCAGACGTTGAGTTGTAGCACAATAGATGGATATGATTATTACAAATACAGATTTATTTTTATTTTTAGCTTTTGATATCCTTTAGCAGAGGGAGACTAAGCCGGGAGAAGCTGCTTCCTCCCTCCATCTGCCTAGCTGAGCAGACAGGAGACGGCAGCCAGCAGATTCATTCGGCGACTCGGCCGAATCCGAAATAACGAATTTAATATATGCTAATGTACTAAAACGATATTCGGGCATACATTAATTTAATTTGCGAACACGCCGCTATATTGGCCGCCGTCGTGTTCTGCGTATTCCCGCCACCATCTTGGAGGCGGAGCGTGTGACGTCACACAATCGAACAAGAGGGCGCCGCCGTCTTGGTTTATACCAACATCTACTCCAAAATGGCGGCTCGCATGCGCAGAACGCGTCGGCGGCCAGTATGCCCGCCGCTCGTTCTACAGGTTTCTTTGACGAAACGAATAAAACATTTTTTTGCTTTCGTTTGTTTCATCTGAAAACAAATTTTGTTGTTTTGCACATGTCTAGTGATCACATGGGAGGGCACGGCTGTACGCTGTCATACGCACACCCGAACTGCACATACATGCGGGTCCGGGTGTCCGGACTTGGATGCACACTGTCTGAATGAGACCTAAGTGTTTGGGCAAAAAATATAAATAAATCCTTTGCTGGGCAATATATATATATATATTTCTTTGATCTGGATTCATTTTTGATAAAAACATTTATAGAGTTTAATACAACTTTAAGCTATTTCAAATGGAAGTTAATCACTTCCAATGGATGCTGTTTCTTGATGTTTAAAAGTTTAAGCTTCCTGCAGATTCAGCTGGTCCTCTGATATCCTGCAAGGCTGGGTTCACACCTAGGCCTATCGCATATGCGCATTTGTCTCGCGTTTCGTGCCGTGCGTTTCCGAGGGCTACCTGGCTGTATCCCAATGGATACACGCGGCAAATAGGCCCCAAAGAAGCTCCTGTACTTCTTTTGGCGTAGGGCGTTTTGTAGCGCGTTCATACGGCCTGTAATACGCCCAGGTGTGAACCATACCCATAGGAAAGAATGGGATTTCGGTGTTTGAGCGTTTTGCAGAGAGTAGCAACGCGCTACAAAACGCCCAGGTGTGAACCGGGCCTTAGGGTGGCTCCTTTCCCTTACAGGGTCCTATGGAGCCACCCTGGTGTGTGCAAATTAGCTGTGTGTGTCTCCACAAACACAGGCACAGCAAGGCATGCTCCTCGTTCCTCCTTTCCCCCTCTCTTCTCCAAGCTAGTAGATGGACGGCTGCTGCAGACTGCTCTGTTCCTTGTGATCTTGTACTGGACAGGAAGTTCATGGAAGCCAAGCTGAGAGAGCTGGAGCTGTTCTGAAACATGATGAGTGTAAGTGCTTGGGTAAAGAAACATTTGCTGGGCAACGTATATTTGTTTGATCTGGATTCATTATTAAAAAAAGTTTGAGAGTTTAATACTACATTAAAATTTGTTAACTTAGTGCATTAAAGTGACATTAAAGTCAATGTTTCCCCCTCCCCCAATGTTAATGTCAGCACTTACCTTAAATGATGTTTCTTAATCCGATCTTCCTCTTCTTTTCTGATGTTTTCATCTGTCCCTCCAGCGGTGCGTCTCCGATCCAGCGCTGACTCCTCTGTCCTTGCTGGCACTTCCTCTCCCACGGTGTCTGCATAGGGGTGCACGCTGTCTATAGACTTACCTTGTGTCTCTCCTCGTCTCCCGGCCGAAAATGTGAACTGCGCATGCGCCCGCCCCAAGGTGCTTTGCAGCTGCACGAGGATCTTCACATTTTCGGACGGGAGCGTGCGGGGAAGACACAGGTAAGTATTAACCCCTGTTAAAGCCAAAAAACCGGAGGGTTTAATGATCCTTTAAGTAATCATTCACACCACATCTGGATCATCTCCAGCAAAACATCTTCAAGAAAAATAAGTCCAGTCGCCTCGATGTATACAGATATACCATGACCTGGATGAATGAGAACCTTCACAGACATGAAGCTGCCTTGGTCATGCTGTGTCTGTCACTTAGCATCTTGACATTGGACCTTGAGGGCCCATTGACACCACATTCATCTCCAGACCACACCAGATTGTTTCCGGACCCAAAATGCATCCCAATGTATCCCTATGCTATTTCTGGTTTCTGTGCACACCCGCACAGTCCGTTCCAGGCCAGAAAAATACTGCATGTCTCATTTTGTCTGGTCTGGAACGCATAGAAACGCATCAAAAACGCATCTGGCAAATGAAAGTCCTTTTAAAAAAAAATAAGCAAAAAAAACCCCAGCTTTGGAACGCAGTAAAAACGCAACACGATGCGCTGCGTTCCAGACCTGGTCCGGAAAATGGTGTGAACCCGGCCTTAGGGGTTACATTAAAATATACAAATGTATTTTTATTGTAATATTTTGTTTTATTTTATTTGTTTGTTTTGTTTTTATTGGGCCGTCTCTTGTCTTCGCTCTTATCTGATGAACGGAGATGTTTGTTCTCGTGCCTACATATCCGTTCTGTGTTGCTTCACGTTGATCTTGATACAATGTACGACGCGCGTGTTTCCTCGTCCTGCAGATTTTCTCCTCTTGAAGGGTTTGTTATTATCACATGTCCCTGTAAGCTCCGCTGTCATCCCTTCCCTGACTCTCTCTGCATCTTTTACATTTTTTTTTTAAAGTTGTGACAGTGTTTCTTTCTATTTGTGCTGCCCCCTCCTTCCCAATCCCCCCCTCCTTTTTTTTTTCTCCCTCCTGACCCTGGCAAGAATTCAGTACGGAGCATGGGATTAGTCTGCGGGGAGTTTGGGAGTCAAGATGCAGAGCCATCACACGGAGCACCTCTACAAGATCCTAGTGATCGGTGACCTGGGAGTCGGCAAGACCAGTATCATCAAACGCTACGTCCACCAGAACTTCTCCCCGCATTACCGCGCCACCATCGGCGTGGACTTCGCCCTCAAGGTACTGAGCTGGGATTCAGACACCGTCGTCCGGCTACAGCTATGGGATATCGCTGGTGAGTAGAGGGGGGAGTTCTAAGGGGTCCTGGTGATTTTTTTTATTTTGACCCCCTTTATATAAATAAGGTTAAAATCTGAGCAGCTCATTAAATTGTTCTCAGGTAACCGCTGTTTGGAGTTTGGTAAATTTTTAGGCGAGGTTGTATTGTGCAGAAGAAGGTCGGTGTTGGGGCGCGGAGCAGATTTAAAAACATTCGTACATTTTTTTACCTTTATATAATAAATACTGGAAAATCAGTATCCTATCATAACCCCCAACTGTCCCTCATTGGGAACCAAACCCCTCTGCAAGTCATTTTGGTGTCACCCCTCCAATGGTGGCACCCGGGTGCGGGCCGCACACCCCACAACCCCTTTCTGACGCCCCTGCCACTCTGTCCTTCTTTTCCATTCACTTTCCTATCTCTGGGATGCAACAGGAAGTTAGAGGAAATTTCCCTGCTTGTTCTAGGGGCAACTCTGAAATTGTGGATTTCCCTGTCACTGTTGGGTTGATATTAAGTCGGGTATACACACATATATTTTCTTTGTTCAACCTGCCGGCGTTGAATTCTGACAGCGGCCGGTGGCTGATTGGCTACTAGCTCTGTTCGGAGGAGAATTTTCCGACATGCTCCTTCGATCAGCTGATCAAGGGATGCCAGTTGGAAGGGTGCCAACAACACCACCCAGACAATCAAACTTCGGTTAGTTCATCTAGAACTGGCTGAAATTCGATGTGTGTATAACCTACTTTCGGTTAAAGCAAGGATATATTTCTGGACTTATTAACTAAAATGTTGAGTGTACTGACCAATCAGAATTCAGCATTTAGTCTGATCGTGCTAAGTGGACATAAACAGGCAGATCGGTCAGCTAGAATGAAACTGGAAGAAGCATCGGCCCATGCTGACCCCCAACTCCATGGTGGTGAGTACCCCCGTGAGCTTCACAATGACTCAAAGGATGGACCATTGAATGCAGGATCCTCCGATCTGTCACATCGCTAATTTTATTTATACTCTTGGAAGCCCATCAGTGTGGTGTGAGGGCCCATCTGTTTGGACAGGCTCTTGAACACACTTCGCTGTGTATTGAGCATAACAATTCTTCAGCTCTTCATACCCTCTCTTGGTGGCATGGAAGTGCTCCAAATGCCTCTTATGACCCCTGTTTTATAGGATATATATATAGGATAGATATAGGACAGCACAGTGGCTCACTACTTCTGTCTTGCAGCATTGGGGTCCATGAATTGAATCCCAGCCAGGACACTATCTGCATGGAGTTTGAATGTTCTCCCTATGCTTGCATGGGTTTTCTCCCACACTCCAGAGACGTGCTGGTAATTGGATCATATACAGTATACAGTATGTGTGCATGTGGATTGCAGGCTTCTTGAGGGCAGGGTTGTTTTGTGAATATACAGTATGTAAAGTGCTGTGTAAATGGAATGCCTGTAATAAATACACACGGATGAGTGATGGAAGAAGAAGACTGAGTGGTCTATTGAGTCGGTTGGTGCCAATGAAGGTAGAATATTCTTTAGACTAGTTTGGTTTATTTCTTTCACTCTGTCTTACTTTTTCCTGTGCTGTCCATCCATTTTGTCTTTTTATGGTTTTGTCTCTGATCTTTCGTAATGGATCTTGCTGAGAAACATATCACATGTGACACAAGTGGAGGGGGCTGTACAGAGCACAAATGTAGAAGAGTTCATTAGAAAAGGGGCTGAAATAGCAATGATCTCCAGCAGTATCATGTAATGTGTCTCCAGTTTATGACTGTCTTCTGAACCTTGTCCTCAGTCTCCGACAACTCCTATAGCATGTCCCCAGTCTTTGACCATCTCTTGTAGCATGTCCCCAGTCTATAACAACTCCTAAAGCATACCCCCAGTCTTTGACCATTCCATGTAACATATCCCCAGTTTTTGACCATCTCTGGTAGCATGTCCCCAGTCTTTGACCACCTCTTGTAGCGCATTCCCAGTCTTTGACCATCTCTTGTAGTATGTCCCCAGTCTTCCACCATCTCTTGTAGCATGTCCCTAGTCTTTCACCATTTCTTATAGCATGTCCCTAGTTTTTGACCATCTCTTGTAGCATGTCCCCAGTCTTTGACCACCTCTTGTAGCACATTCCCAGTCTTTGACCATCTCTTGAAGTATGTCCCCAGTCTTCCACCATCTCTTGTAGCATGTCCCCAGTCTTTGACCATTTCTTGTAGCATGTCCATAGTCTTTGACCATCTCTTGTAGCATGTCCCCAGTCTTTGACCTGCCACATGTCTGCAGTCTCTGACAGCTGACTGTAGCAATACGTTCACTGAATATTATACGTGGCCTTATGGTAATGTTAGAGGGTGCACTTGAGGCCAAGAAAGTTGACCACCACTGGTATAGATCTATGTTTGTTCCAAGCATGTTTACATTCACTTACTGTTAAATAAATTACTACCACAGCTGGAAGTCTGTTCCAAGCACCAACTACTCTTTTGGTGAAATAATACTTTCTAAGGTTAGTTTTGAACTTTCCTTCTGCTAGTTTGAGGTCATGTCCCTGTGTTCTTCATCTTACCTTTGTATGAAAAATCCTGCCCTCCTGAACCATATTTACACCCTTAGGGTTATGTTGTATTTAAAGTAGGGATGCACCAATATATCAATATCGGCTGAAAATTGCACTTTTGGCAAAATGCCGAAAGTGCTATTTTCTGGCCGATATAGAGGTGTTGCTGGGTGCTGCTCTGTGTCCCAGGGGGAAGGAGAGAAACTTTCACAGGTGGCTGAGCGCTGCGGGAGGAGAGCGCTGTGAGCAGCCGGTGTCTCTCCTCCCCGCACCGCTCAGCCTCCTGTCACAGATCGGGAGAGCGGTGTGGGCGGAGACAGGCTGCGTTGTCACAGGAGGCTGAGCTCTCCTCCCGCCCTGCCCAGCCTCCTGTGACAACTGTCAGGATGGAGAGCGGGTACAAGCAGTCAGTGATCGCTGAGTGTTTGTAAATAATTGAGGACAGAGTATGGTTACTATATCCTCAATTATGAATGAATGGGAATGATCTACATTACCTCCTGTTCATTCATGATTGTGATTATAGCAAACATACCATGTCCTCATTTTAATGAATGAACAGGAACACTCAGTATAGAGGATTCCCATTTATTTATAACAGGCGCTGCAGAAAAAGATTTATTAATTTAATACAAATTAATAAATAAAATATAAAAAAATGAAAGTTTTTTAAAAAGTAAATAAAAATAAAATATTTAAAAAATGTGAAAAAGTTAAAATAAAAAACATTTTCGATTTCGGCCTGACATTTTTTTTTCATTTCGGTTTCGTTATGTTTTTTGACATTTTTCATTTCTGTGCACCCCTAATTTAAAAGTTTCAGTCATGCCCTCCTTTCCCTTTCCCCCAGGACTGTACATATTAAGTCTCTGCCGTGTCTGCTGATGTTTTATAGACCAAGCTTAGAAAAAAGTATTTACAGTCGAGGCTGAAAGAACTACATGTAAATGAATTAGCACAACCGTGGTAAATTTCACATACCCTGCCCACATTTGGCTGCCAGTTGTCTCTCTGACATTAGTCAGCCTACATTTACCGCGGTGTGTACTTTGCCAACTATATTTAACAGTCTTGACACAGAAAATGACTTACTAACGTTATCCCGGTACTGTTAGAGGTTTAAAAATGTTCTGGTAAGTCAGGTGATTTAATATTATACATCTTAGTCCTAAATAGTGAAACCAAAAATAAAATATTCCATTTTGGATGGATAGAAATGGCTAAAAAGCCCCCACTGATATCTAGGGTTGCCACCCGTACGGGAATGACCCGGACAGTCCGGTTTTGGAATCCTGTGCCCGGGTACGCTCCTTTGGCAGACCATATCTCTTATCTCTTTGGTGGGATTTCTGCAATTATACCCACGGTGCTATCACCCCTGGATGTGAGATCTCAGCACTGGTGCTTCCAGAGGACAGAAAATATCAGTTGGTCACTCCACCCAGAAAAATTTATGCATATAAGGTCCCCCATAGACGACTCATATTTTAGGACCATTCCTGCAGAATCGGCTGAAGCCCAAGCTATAGGTGACCCTGCGCGCACTACTCAGCTCAACCCAACCACAATTGATTTCAAAGTAGGCTGAGTCGGTTGGAAAAGTATCAGCAGATCAGTGACTGCGTTCTATCAAATACTGTCACTGTTAAGTAGTACCGCCGTATTCGTGGAGCGGCAGTTTCATGGCTGCCTGAATTCAATGGCCGGCAGTGGAGATTCCGCCATCCATGCTGTTGGTATGGATGGGGGAATCAGTTGATTTTTGTTTGGTCGGGAGTTACAATTTTGTGTGGACGTGGACTTGTTTTTAAGTGAACCTTGTACAATCAATTATGTGGCCCTTCCATTTTTTTACTTCCTTTTTGAATCTACAATGCAGGAAGTTTAGAGAAATCACCCTAATGACACTCCAATGGCAAAAAATGGGTTAAATTGTTAATCTCATGTTATGTTTAAGGTCCCGTTTACATCTATGTGTTGCAGTAAGGAGCGGCGACACATTACTTGCATTGCGGCGCCGTGTTCCAAGAAGACAACACACATGCTTTACGACAAAAATGTTGTGTCACATTTTGGTGTGTTGGCAGCCTATTACCTTCAATGGGCTGCCTCTGCCTTTATCCAAGGCGCATTAAAGCACAACATAACGCATGTTAACACACTTGCATTAAGGCACTGCACAAGTGTAATTGGGTTTTAAAATGAATCTGCTGAAACAGCAATGCCTAGGTCACATGAGTGTTTTTCTGCAAGGAGGAAGGGGAAGAGCACACTCATTCCTGACATTAGGGAAGCAACCAGGGCCGTCCCTATGAGGCAGCCTGAGGCTGTTCCCTCAGGCAGCATCTTCTAAGGTCACTTGGGGGGAGTGTGACAGGCAGACGGGCATGGCCATTCTGCTGCACAATGTTTGCAGTGTGCCCGCTCCCCATTTCTGGCCAGAGTGT